ACCCCTAAATATCACCTTTCATACCCATATTAATCTAATATTAACCTTATCATGGCCTATGATCACGTCTTTTCAAGCTCATTCTAATCTGATTTCAACCTCCAATCAACCATTTCCGACCCCTACTTCAACACCACTTATGTAGATTCTCGACCCAAGATCCTTAGAAAACGTTTTAAGCATATAATGGGTTTTACAATGTATATATGTATGTGTGTATGTATGCATGCATGCATGCATGCATGCATGCATGCATGCATGCATGTATGTATGTACGTACGTATGTATGTACGCGTGTGTATGTATGTGTGTATGTGTCATCCTTGTACTATGTACGTAGGTATTCATTTTTGAGTTGTTTGTGTGTCTATTATACGTCTTTATGTGTGTATATGTATATATGTAAAAATATTTTGTGCATACACATACGTAAAAAACTTGCATATGTATGTATGAATGTATGTGCATATGTGTAGATGTGTATGTGCACGTGTCTCTGTGTGTGTACATATGTGCCGTTGTGTGTTTATGTATGTGTATCTACAACATATTAACATATGTATACATATATATATATACATACGCATCTGAATATACACATGTATGTGCATATGCACATGCATTGATATAGGTATTTAAAGGTATTTACATGCGTTCGTGAATATGTGGCATATGTGTGTGTATGTATGTATGCCTGTCTATGTAAGTATGTAAGTATGTGTGTGTGTATGTATGTATGTATGTATGTATGTATGTATGTATGTAAGTATGTAAGTATGTATGTATGTATGTATGTATGTATGTATGTATGTATGTATGTATGTCAGAGGTATGTAGAGGAACAGTGGTATTAGGGTTAATAATTGGAATAGGGCTTGGGGGGTGTATTATACAATTTTTATACTAAGGAGCCCCCAAAAACCGATTCTAATTATTAAGGCCCCTGCATTGCAGTACCCCTAAACCCACTCTTATAAACCCTAAACCCTAAACCCTAAACCCTAAACCCTGAATCCCTAAACTTTACCCCAAACCCTAAACCCTAATCCCAGGGCCCCAGGGTTGACGCAAACAACTCTCCGCAGGAGATGGAGAACGCGACTCCCTCCCTTATCCCGAAGCAGGGTTCATGGTTTTATTTCTTCGTAACCTAAACCCCAATAATAGGCATGGTTTTTGTTGCGGAGTTGAGGGTTTAGGGGATACTCCATCATTGACGGGTGCTGCCGACCCTGAACCCTAAACCTAGGCAGGGTGTGCAACCCTAAACTCTAAAGCGATGCACCTGCTCGACCCGCTTGCAGCACAGCATAGCCCATGTTGCAAAGAAGGGCAGCTCCCTCCTTGCAGTCTAGGGTTCCCCTAAACCCTAATAGCCTAAACCCCTAAACTTTAAACCCTAAACCCTAAACCCTAAAACCCTAATCCCTAAACCCTAAACCCTAAACCCTGTTTAAGGTGTAATGTTCAAGAGCTGTCTGTTGCAAGGATGACGAAAAAACCGTTACTACCAGGGTTTTGGGATGCTTGAGGCTTAGGATTCAGGGATGTTGCTGGTTTGCGGTTGAGGGTTTGGGGGTTTAAAGTTGAGGGCTTAGGGTTTTAAGTCGAGGACTGTAAGGTTTAGGATTTAGGGCTTTAGGGTTTAGGGGTTTAGGGTTTAGGATGTTGAGGGTCGGAGGCGTGGCTTTCGGGCTGTTGGCTTTGGTGGCCTCGGGATCCTAGTAGAAGTTCGGGCCCAGATGAAGGGTGTGGCCTACGTAATTGAAGGATCATATGACATAGTAACTAGGGTCATAAGCAAGGAAACTATAAGATTGATACATATATATATATATATACACGGTAGCTATAACCTTCTTCCTAAAGCATGGTTTAGGACTTCAGGCTCGGGATTGAGGGTGACGCGGCACGTCTCACTGCCAATTCTTCCCTACATCCGCAGCCATAAAAAAACTCCCACACGGTTTCGAGTTTGGGGTATTGGGCCTTGGGGTCTTGAATGGTTCTCGTTCCAGGTGTGGCTAACCACTGAAAACACGAAGACATGGAGGGTTTTGACACGGGCACTGGCAAGCTCGCGTCTCTGCCTCAACGTCCTGACACCGCAAAGACTCTAAGAAGCACATCTTCTACACATTCCTCAACTGTTGCTGCACCTAAATCCTAAACCCTAAACACTAAACCACTAGAGTCTCTAGAGCTTCAGGTGATGTATCGGAGTGTGCGGTGATTGGAAACACGCAGAGGTGGAGCTTCCAGATGATCGCTAACAGATGTTGTCACTGTATCATTAGGGCAAGATCTCTAATTCGTCGCTGGTGCCAGTCCCATTTTCTATTGTGATCTCCACTGCCACTATGAAACATTGCTCGTAGCTCCAGATACATGGCACTAAAATAAAACCCAATCTGCAAGTTGCCCAAACCACCCGTCGCAGACGGCCGTCCTCTGTGTCCATCAAGCCCTGCCTCTTGTAGGCTTCGCGGGCATCGCCTGGGCATTACATCTGTCTAGTTTTTGAGGGGTGGATAGTGAAAAATTAGATTCATGTGGTTTTATTGAGGCTTCACAAGCAAGGTCGGAAACGGAATCATAAGAGAGTGCCAGTCTGCGCTATAAGAATCCTTCACAAGGTTTCTTTTCAAGGTTCTGATGTAGGGGCCTTGATGGTTTGAAAAAGGGACTCTGTAGCCTATGGCCTCTTTCTTAAGAGTTCTGTAAGGGCTGCTACCAGAGGCTTCGCAGGGGCTTGACATAGGGCCTTAGTGACTTGTCCTCTTTCAGGCTTCTGTTCGGGCGTTGACATGGGGGGGCCTTAACACTTAGAGTCTAAAGGTTTAGGGTTTAGGGGTTTAGGGTTTAGGGTCTGTAGGAGTATGGTCTTGGGGTGTTGAAACAGGCAGAACCCTAAGGACTGCTATTGCCAAGTATTGACGCGCTCATGTTTTGACGCCCTGCGCCGAGCCCTGAAGCCCTGTTTTCGGGTTTGTGGCAAGAAGGCTTTGAGCGTAGCGTTCAGACCTGCAAACCATCTGGGCATGTTCCGCAAACGAGACACCCTCATCTGGAGACTAGGGAGGTAGTATCTTTCCTATATGTGATGTTGCGAGTAGCCTCATTTGTTGAAAACTCTCCTGAAACCCTGAATCTTAAACCCTCACCCACTAACTAAGACTGGGTCCCGGCACCGAAAGCTTGCATCGCGGCATCGAAATCGCCCATGCGACCATACGTGGCCCCGAGACCTGGGTCTAGCTTTCATCTAAAGGCACTCTGAACGACACCCCAGAACTACACCCTCCAATCCTTCGTATACAACCCCTATAGAATACTTATATAACCCTTCTATAACCTTTAATTCCAGCTTGTAGAAGCTACATGAAGGAAAGAAATGTCAGTTGACGGCAAATTGTCCTTTCAAGCAACTTCGCATGGCCAAAAAAATTAAAAAGAGCCGGGGAGGGGTTGGGGGGGGGGCGCAGGTTGGGGGGCGCAGGCCCGGACAGCATCAAGCAAACTGCCGTGCTGCTGAAACTCGTTGCAACAGCTGGTCAGTCAGTTAAGCAGCTACAGCGGGTAGCTCCTGCTGACTGCCGCCATTCTTCAGCTGAACATGCACAGCACCACTGTCCCACGGTGCACGGCCCCGGGTCACGGCAGATCCGTCTCTAAGAATGGCAGCAGAACCGTGTATCCGGTGCACATCCTTCAGCTGAGTCTGCACACCGCTACTATCACCACCGTAGAGAGCATCACCCCAGGTGACGACCGATCCATCGGCAAGAACGGCAGCAAAAGCACGCGAAGAGGCGCAAATTTGCTACCCATTCTGCAGTTGGTCCTGCACAGCACGACTGTCACCACCTCAATCAGCAGCACCCCAGGTAACTACAGCTCCTTCGCCAAGGATGGCAACAAAAACGCTTCCAATACGAGAAGCTTGGATTTGCTGCACATTCTCTAGCTGATCTTGCGCAGCACTGCCGTCATCGCCATACCAAGTATGACCCAGGTAAGTACATATCCATCACCGAGGACGGCGGCGAGAGCGTGGTGACAGACTTGGATCTGCTGCGCATTCGTCAGCTGAGCCTGCACAGTGCTGCTGTCTCCACCATGCTCAGAATCACCCCAAATCACGACGGATCCATCCCCAAGCATCGCAGCAAAACTGCTGCCAGGTTACCACAGATCCGTCGCCAAGAATGGCAGCAAAAGCGAAAGCGTTGGCTTGAATCTGAACACGTTTTATCTGCAAGGTCAGTGACTCACCATTCTCAAGCCCAGCATGCTCGATAGTTGAACGTGCATCTAGAGTCCCAGCTGCATCCACCAGCCGCCCGATTCCGACTCCAAGCGCAGTCTGTGCTCGGATTTTCAGAGTTCCTACCTCTTAATTCCGCGGCAGCTCTTCTGCCATTGAGCAGTTTAACTTCAACGGTGATGGACATGCCGCGCGTCGGAAACAGCTCAACGTCCAAGTATTCCACTGGGCAAAGGTGTGCTCAGAGATGCCAAGTAGTGGCCATACTTGGCATCAGTATCTGTGTGGAATAATTAGGTGCTTCTGGCACGTTTTCAATACGGTCGGTGGCAGTTTTTTTTTGTAGGAGCCTTAATAAGTAGAATTGGGTTTTGGGGCCCATTATACTATAATTACAGTAAGGAGCCCTCAAAGTAGTATTGTTAATGATTACGGATTCGGGCCCCTATAGCTGCGTTCTTGAAACAGAGGACAGGCTCCGGTGTCATAAGCCACCGCGATCCACCTGCTGAACCTGGAAAAATTGACATAATTTGTACGAGAATAGCTCTAAATCGTAAACACTGGGTTTAGGGTTTAGGGTTTGCTAAACACATTACCAATATCAAACCGGCGTGCACGAACAGAAGCGCATGTTGTGGTCGTCGTCGTGTCCGACGACGTCGTCGTCAGGGCTGCAATCGGTCGAGGGGAGGTGCGGTGTCTTTCTTCAAGGGTTTTGAGGACCGAAATACCACACGGAAAAACTAGAGGGTACGGCCTGTCGCAACTGTTGCAGCCTCCTTTCCTCTTGTTTTGGATCTGTTGCCTCTGCATTTATAAAGCCTAAGCCCTACACGGGTGCTTTTAGACTCTAAGCCCTAAACCCCTAAACCCTAAACTCTAAAGCGGTTTGGTAGCTAAGGGCAGACGAGATCAGTTGCGGCCCGGGGGCAACAAGTTCAAGATACCAAACCCCCCGACGAAGCACCAAACCTTCGCATCCATGAACCAAGGGTTTGGGGTTTTGGATTTTAGGGTTTCATTTATAAACAGAGTGAAGCGTTTTAGGGTTGAGGATGTAGAGTTTCAACGTTGTCGTTTTCTGTGGATGCTTATGGTCGGATCCTACTGTATGGTAGATTTAGGGAGCCTTTGACTATGATCCTACTATGCAGCGAGAACTTCAAAGCCTCGTTCTTAGTGGTATTGTAGATTGGTTACATCAACCGTTTGGGTTTAGGATTTAGGGCCGTTGACGGTTTGTATCACATAACCAAAAAACCTTGTGGGATTTTCCAAGAATTTCTGAGCCCATGGCTCATCAGGACATGCGCGCCTTGAGCGGTTAGCAACGTTCCGTTCTCCTGGTCGGGACGCTAGAACTCAAACTCACTACCTCGCTTTAACCATACAATGCAAACCCATCCTAAACAAAGTTGGTAGCTAACCCTAAACCGCAAACTGTAATCGTAAGTCCTCAAACCCCTAAGCCTAAACTCTAAACTCTAAGCCCTAAGCCCTAAACCCTGAACCCCAAGCCTCTCCACCTTCAACAACCCGAAAGCCAACAACAAAACGCCCCTATAATCGTGTTTCAGAAAGGCCTGTTGTGAGGTGGAGTTTTTCAAGTATTCAGGCGTCGGATGTTTGAGTTATGGCGTAGTGTCTAGGGTTTAGGGTTTTGGGGTTAGGGTCTGAAACGGTTCAGGCGGTTCGGGCCTCCCGAGTGTACTGGCCAGAGTCCCCAGTATCGAATACGAAACCTATAACTTAAGATTGCTTCATACGAATACGTTAGTTATATATCTGTTTTCTCCACCAGAAAACTATCTAAATCAGACATTAGTTTGGGTTTAGGACTTCGGGCTTCATTCGCCTTTAGACCCTGGTTCCTAAACCAAAAAAACCCTCAACCTCCTACGGTTGATGATATAAATCCGGCATTACCTAGGACCCTGAACTTTGGGAATTATGGTATATTCCTTATTATGGGTAATACAGGATTTGGATCATCAACCGTAGGATCTATAGGGCCTTCCGCGCAGGGGCATCTTTCCGCGTTTCTCGTTATTGAGGCTTCGATGTTGTTGTTTTAGGCTTCAGGGTTTAGGGTTCAGGGCTATCGGCACCTTTGGATAATACGTTCCTTGATCTAATACCAAAACCAAGAAGCACGCAACAACAAATCTGCCGCGCCATCGGCGTCATCATTGCCACCTCACCCTGGCGACCGTTTCCGCCATGGTCATCATCCCCAAACCCAAAACCCGAATCATAACATCCTTCCTCCCCCCGACCCTTGATTCTACCTAGTACAAGATAGACGGCTTCCCAGGGACTCCAAAACCCCTGAATCAAAGACTATACCTTAAATCATGTTTGGGATCTTACTCTAATTCATTAATCCTTAATTCAGGGCTGTCGGAGTCTCTGGGTCTGAGAACCCTAAACCCTAAACCCTAAACCCTAAAGAACATCCTCAAACTCCACAACCAGAGCCCGGTCCTTCAAGCGCCAGACTCGAAAGACAAGAACTCAGAAGAGCAGAGTCCCTAAAGCAACTCCACCCATGTTAAGGTTTAGGGTTTCGGGTTTCGGGTTTCGGGTTTAGGGTTTAGGGTTTAAGGTTTAGGGTTTAGGGTTTAAGTTTTAGGGTTAAGGGTTTAGGGTTTAGGGCTGTTAAAGTCCCAAGTCTTACCTGCTCCTGCTATTAGGGTTTAGGGTTTAGGGTTTAGGGTTCCTTAATGGGATCTATAAGGGTTCCTATAGGGGATTCTATGGGTACTATATGGGTAGTTCTCTAAATTAGGGTACCTTCTAGAGTAAAATCCCAAGTCTTACATGCTCCTGCTATTAGGGTTGAGAGTTTAGGGTTTAGGTAGATCCCTCAACCATCCATGTCCATGCATCCCCCAAACCCAGAGCAAGTCAACAAAACCAACGCAATCTAGATAATCTCGTTTCGACCCGTGCTATGCCCGTAAAAGGTCCCGCAACCATGTGAAGCCTTACAGCACCCCATCGTGCAGTCACAGAACAGCTCCATCAGTCCATCAGCCGCTTAAAAATGTGGCACATTGAAATCCTTACAAAAACATAAAAGTCCATCAGTCATGAAAAAAGCCCTCTTGATACCCAGAAACCCATTGTAAGGTTCAGAAAATACCCAAGCCCAACCCCCGAACCCCAAAACCCTCGAGGCCACCCTAAACCCACCACGAGAGTCCCGAAACCTAAACACCAAAAACACATGATCTCTCATAACTTCCTAAACAACCATAACACATAACAATTACACCACACCCCGCAATACTTATCCACCATAGCCCTGAAGCGAAAACACTAAAACCCTAAATCCCACACCCAAAGACTCGATCTCCTGAACCCTAACGATTTAAGGTTTAAGGGCTTAGGGTTTAAAGCCTCAGTAAAACCCTCTTCCGCTTGCCGCTCCTCGTGCTCACGTCGCTGGGCTTCCAACTCGGCCAACGCTTTTGCCTCCAACCGCGCGCCTAAACCGTACACCGAACCCTAAACCCTAAGTGGCTTGAGGAGTTTAGAGCCTTTGACGTCCCCACAGAAACCTCTGAACACTCGAAACCCAAAGCCTCAAAACTCTAAATCCTTAGCCGTCTCAACAACAAAACGCAAGCGCTGGAAGTCAGGCGGCTGTCGCAGGATCCGCGTTGCGGTGCCTCCAAGCAAGTAGCAAAAATCTCGACATTCACCAAACCAGTGAACATTGGAGTTTTAGGGTCAGGGGTTTACAGGGGTTTAGTGTCTTAGAGTTTAGGGTTCAGTTGTCGGGGAGTTTAGGTTTAAGATGTGTGATCCAAGCTACTGTTGATGATGTGAATCCTGCATTAACTTAAGGACCCTACACTACGGGAATTATGGTATATTCCTTATTATGGGTAATGCAGGATTTATGTCATCAACCGTAGTTTTGAGGCTCAGGGTTTAGGGTTTAGGGAAGGTTCGGTTCAGGATTGAAGACTCAGGGTTTAGGGCTTTAGGGTTTTAGGGTTTTAGGATTTAGGGTTTAAGGTTTAGGGTTTAGGAGGTTTTTTGTACGGGGCTTTCGAAGCGCAAGAATTAGATCTCTGGTTGTTTTTTCCAGTTGCCGTGGTGGCTTTCGTGAAGCCTACACAACCAGAAGTGAAGTTCTTGCAAGTTCTTAAGGGGTGCTATAAACATATTCAGAAGCCCTCAGCGACCGACCCTTTCGCGGGTGACTTTCATGTATTTCGGGTGTAGCTTACAGGTTTTTGTGAGCCCCAATAGTCTCTTTGGGTGCTGTCTGCACCATGCACACTCGCCGCTGTACATGGGCAAACAGCTCCAACAGCGCCATACATCAGTGACCATACAACAGCACTGCACCCTAACTAACACAGGTTGTAAACACACATAGATAGGTACATATAAATATGAGTATATATATATACATTCTAAATAGTCATAAAGCTGGTCATATATATATATATACATCTATATATATATACACGGTTTTTGTATCTATATACTTATATAATATGTACATACATACACACACACGCACACACACACACACATACATACATACATGTATATATATATATATGTATATATATATATGCATATATATATATATATATATATGTATATGTATATATATATATATAAGTATAAGTATTGCACTTTGAAGCACCCCTTGTCGGGAAATTGCCCCTGGACCCGAGACCATAAACTTTCAGCCTCAAGCCCTAACCCCTTTTCTAAACACTTGAAGCCCCGAAGCAATGGTGGAATTAGGGGTATAACTTCAGGCGTCTAAAAGTCGATAGCGAGAACTATTCGAACCACTCAAAATGGTCCTTGTTCGCAGGGAGTAATTAAGAGGTTTTGCAAGCTTTATAATTATGGGTAGCCGGGTAGCCACACTCACCGCCAAGCAATGAAAACCCTAAAGCCCTACGCAACATAAGCCCCGCCATATATCAAACGCTTATGAAAAAAAAACGCTTATAGACACCCGCCCAGAGGGCCTAAGCACCTAAATAATAGGGTTTTGGGGCCCCGGATTCTCTACTCTGATTGATTTGTGGCACCTAAAAGCTTTTTAAGTTGAGTTTGGGGTCCCGAGTTCTACACTCTGAATGGTTGCTGGCACCTAAAACCCGCAGTTTGTGTACTTGGGCCCTTCAAACACCTACTTACTTGTCCAGCACCATGGGGAACTAAAGGTTAACCAATAAGGGGATTGCAGCCTATAGGGACTATACCAGCCCAAGATGGCTAAAGGTCACCTGACCTACCACTGAGAACAAGGGGAAACATAATCCTAAGCCCCAAACTCTAAACCGTAAGCCCTAAACCTTACCCTAAACCATAAACCCTAAACCGTGGCCCCCGGCCCACTTGGCGAAGCATTGTTTGTGGAAGGGGTCGCATTTGCCAGGGAGGCCTGGAAACGAAGCCGGGCACTCTTAATTAAGGGCTCCTTTAACGGTTCCTTTCAGGGGTCCTTTAGGGGTTCCTTTAGAGGTTCCTTTACAGCCTCCCTTTAAGGGCTCTCTGAGCATTCCATAGGCTTTAGGGTTTAGGGCTTTACGGTTTAGGGTTAAAGTTTTAGGCTTTAGGACTTTAGGGTCGCGAGAGTGTTGTCTGACTTCTTTGTTATAACCTACATAAATCCCAAGTCCTGTGAACCCTGCCTGAAGGCCCTTCAAGGAACCCCCGAAATGGCACCTATACAGGGGCCACGATCTGTCAGGTTTAGAATCCTTCAAGGAAGCCTTACAGAAACCGTTGTACGGTTGATGATATAAATCCTGCATTACTCATAGCAAGGAATATACCATAATTCCCATCGTTTAGGGTCCTTAAGGTAATGCAGGGTTTACAGCATCAGCAGTAGGAGCCCTACTTCTGCCCCAAAGCTAGGGTTTAGGGTTTAGGGATCCCTCTCGACATGAAGTGTCAACATGGCTGAACTCGCTCGAGGTTGCTCTTAAGCCCTACTGAAACCCCAAACCCCGAAGCTCTGATCCCAAGCCCCCTATAAAACCCTTATAGAGCCCAACAAAACCCAATTAAGCCTACCCTAAAACCCTGCTACGCTGCTACCAGTACACTACAGAAGGCGCCAAAAAACCCTAAACCCTAAACCTAAAAAACCCTAAACCCTAAACCGTGGCTCTCTCATGGCACCTGCAGCTTGAAGATGGCTTCGTCCTTGCATCAAGGACCCAACATGTGGACTCTACCGGCAGGATGAAGAAGCACGCTTTGGGGATTTCATGTGGCTTTTTGATTGGGTTGACGGTTTAGGGTTTAGGGTTCAGGATTCTGTCGGTTCTGCTGCAGGGTTGGGCACTTGTTTTGGGGCAGCTTAATGATTGGAATAGGGGCTTATCATGGTATAACTACATGTGGTGGACCATACGGGGAGGCTAAATAAGTATCGAACTGCCCAACCTCTCTCCAGAGTCGATATAAACCCTATTCCCTATCGTCAACGCGTCTGTGGGAGTCCCTGCGAATCGGTGCAGAGGCCCCGAGTCCTTTTCAGTGAGGCTACTGGTAGCATCGGTCAGGGTTCGAATTCAAATAGGAGCCTCAACAATCTCCAGCAGGCGTTTGGTGTATACTATTAGAATAGGGTTTTGAGGCCCATTACACTCTAATTATAATAAGGACCCCCCCCCCGCCCAAAGTAGTATGGGTAATTATTTAGGCCCCTCCATTAATATTGTACAACTCAAAGAAAGGGAAGACGATGGGCTGTCTTTTTCCAGGCTTCTATACTCGATGGATTCGTGGGTTCGTGGGTGGCAGTCAGGCCATACAGGTATCTTAGAGGGCCTCACTTCCTTCGCGAGGTCCCTCAACTCTGGGAACTACGGTTGATGATATAAATCTAAATCCTGCATTACCCATAATCAGGAATATACCACAATTCGCGCGTTGTAGGGTCCTGAAGGTGTTGCAGGGTTTGTATCATCAAGACTAGGATTTCTGGGTTTGGGGTATCCACCCAGGCTCTCTTTCGGAGTACCTAGGCGCTAAGCTTGAAAAACGGTTTAGGGTTCAGGGTCAGGTGGTGACGCTTCATGTCTGCGGTAAAAAAAAATATAGAGGGCCTGAGGATCCTCCATTGTACGTCAGGTTTTGTGTTTTTTGAGGTCAGGGGTTTAGGGTTTAGGGTTTAGGTCTAGGGTTGTTCAGGGAATTAGGTTGACAAGGGTTTGTGTTTGTCTTGCTTAAGAGTCTGGGACAAAGTCAGGCAACTGGGGGCGGCTTCTTCAGAATGTCATATTTCGATACACTTCATGTCCAAATGCTATGCTGCCGTACTGGCTGCTACTGCTTCTATCCAGGTGATGTATGATTAGAATCAAACCCTAAACCCTAAACCCTAAACGGTTTAGGGTTTAGGGTTTAGGATTAGAGTGACTAGAACGCTCACCATGGCTACAACAGCTCCATATCCTTGGAACCGATCGCTCTGAGTGCTTGGCCTTTTGGAGCTATCATGTTTCAGAGCAGCTGTGAGATCCAGACGGTTTAGGGTTTAGGGTTTAGGGTTTAGGGTTTAGGGCAGAGGAGCACAACCAAACCTCAAACCCTAAACCATAAACCCTAAACCCTAAACCACCAAGTGAAAGATTATGTTTTGTCTGGGGCCTGGGGTGATGGGTTCAGCGTCTCTGGCTTTCATGGTTTCGGGGGAAGGTTGGTGCTGCCATCAGTGTTACAACCACTCTAGTGTTGACGATGACTGTTACAAGTAATTTTGAGAACCCAAACAAATACAGCAGAAGCTAGCCATTTAGGGACAGTGAAGGACAATAGTTGCTGACTATTCAGACCCCTGTTTTTTCATTCCTTACCGGAACCAAAATCATCCACGACAGGAGCCAAGCGTCTACCTCCTGTGCTCGTGCTGCGTGCCTTAATGGCCAGGAACGACGCAGCCGAAAGGCCCAGTTCGGCGAGTTTGGGATTCAGGCGGGCCCCCTATATTAACAAGTATGCAAGGGCCTCAGAGTTGCAGAATCGCTAGAAAAAACCATTGGCTCCGTTTGATATCTCCAAGGGCATCCGGCAATCCACGACCTTGAGGGTTTCGGGTTTGACGGCTTTACTAGGGTTTAGGGTTTAGGGTTTAGGGCTTCAGTGATTCAAGGTTCTAGCAGAGCGTGTGCTGGCAGTCCGCCATCAATGGCTCCAAATCTTGGGCCTTGATGGTGGCCTAATGCCATCAAATGACCTCGTGCCAATCTGTCCCGCCGCTGCTGCTTCGAGGCCTGCAAGGCTTTCGCCCAACGGGCTGCCTCGGCGATGACCCCCGACTCAGGCGCAAGATAAAGCCGCGAGCACGCCAGGTTTGCCTTACCCAGTCCCCGAAGCCGCCTTTTCTTCACCCGTCCACAGCAAATTCGCAGATCTCGCGCACGATCGAGGCTCTTGCTCTTCGTTCTTGCATGTCAATCATAACATGGTTTTAGGGATCAAGGCTCAGGGATATATTGTTCATGTTTGAAATTGCTTCAACTTAATGTAGGGGCCTTAATAATTATAATAGGTTTTATGGGGGGTTCCTTATTATGATTATAATATAATATACCCCCAAACCCTAATCTAATTATTCAAGCCCTTTTATTAACGCTTGCCTCTTTCCCCACCTGCAAAGGATCGAGAGCGGTAGTCTCCGGCAAGACATTCCTGATCGCGTCTGGCAATGCATCAATGCGCCGCTGCAAAAGCGCTACAAGGCGTTTGTCCTCAGCTTCGGCCATTGCCGCTATCCTCTGTGTGCATATGGGTAGTTCTCGAAATTAGGGTCCCTTTTAGGATCCTTTTTATAAGGGTGCCGTACTCTATTGGGGACCTAAAAGGGGCCCCAATTTAGAAAACTACCCATATGGGAGCTTGGAACTCACACCAATCGTTGGCCCCTTTGGCTGCATGGAGTCCTAGCAGACTAAGTTTGGCAGGTTTTGCCCCTGGTTTAGGGCTGAAGGTCTATTTAGAATCCTACTAGGCACTATAAGGGGACATTATTACTAGTTATTGTTGAGACGCCAAAACTCAACCTTAAAAACGTAAACCTAAACCCTATACCGTAAACCCAACCCCCAAGAGTCCATTCGCCTTGGGCTTAAAAGGCGGAAACACTTCCCCACAAAATCACCAGGCCCATCGTGTGGGATCCTAAATACTTAATACGGCTTTTAAGGAAACTGGTGTGTATTCACGCTTCTATCTTATGCCCTGTCTTAACCCAACCCTACACACACACACACGCACGCACAAAAACTCCTAGGCACAGACGGCCGCATACTGAACGCCCCCAAAGCCGTACATCAGCCTTAAAATCCTGCCCAAGACTCAAGAAGCCCCAAGTCCGCACAATCACTTCAAAAAGACCTACACCCAATAGCCTTGAACTCCTTAACCGTTGAATCTTCAACCCACATTCCCGAGGCAACACCGTGCATGCTAAACTTAGCAGCTAAGCCCGAAGGTTTACATCCCACACCTTAAGCCCTTGCGCGCAGGTGAGTATCGACCGTGAATAGTGGGATCCTTCATAGAAAGACCATCCCCCGCATTATTTTCAACAGAAAAATCTGGGTCCTGAACCCGTTAATTCCATAAGCCTTTATGACCCCTAACTGTCCCCTTTTGACAACAGGGTCCCGAGAGAGGCAAAAGCTGGGGTTGGTGCGTCCCGTCTCCCTCGTAGAACTGCTGAAGATCTTGAAGCACCTGGCTCAGGGTTTGAAAGTTTGGAGTGGGTTTAGTAAGGATTTAGGGTTTAGGGTTTAGGGTTTACGGTTTAGGGTAGGGGCTATAAGGGTTAGAGGGCTTTGAGGGGGGGGATTGCGGATCTTGTCCGGGGGATTCAGGTTTCAAAATTCAGAATCTCTGGCATTAGGGGCTTTCAGGTATGGCTTGAGGTTTCGGGTCTTAGGCTTTCGCCCTACCAGTAGCTCTTCTCCCGAAGCTCTGCATACCAAACCTTATACTTATGGAAGCCTCACAACAAACTGAACAAGTAACCACTCTGGGCTCTCACCACTCTGGGCTCTCCAAGGACCCCTGATGGTAACCCTCATAGCAACTACCCCTTCTGATACCCTACACCCTAAACCCTAAACCCTAAACCCCTAACCCCTAAACCTCACGGTACCCTCCGTCTGTGGGTGGGCACCATCCAGCACCAAGCTCCGTCCCTTCAGCGTCCGGTTCGTGAAGCTCGCCGTAACGACCTAACCTTTTCGCCTTAACCTTTCACACATGTGCCGGCTGCATCCATTATGGATAGTCATAGAAACAGAATCCACTGTCTGATGGTAATCTCTTTCCCACATGTTTCATTATGTGATTTGTTTGCAGATGTTACTTTGGCTCGGCTTGGCTTTGGCTTGGTGGTCCTAGGGTGGGCATGTCTTTATGCTACTGCGCGATAATCAACTCGCGACACGTCGAGCACTCGCGAAACCTTAAACCTTGCACCCTAAACCCTGCTCCTTAAACCCAAAGCCCTGAATCCCGAAACCCCTAACACCCCTAAACCCTAAACCTTCAAAGCCCCTGAACCTCGAAACCCCTAACACCCCTAAACCCTAAACCGTAACCTTTTGAAGAAGGGCTTTACAGGAACCCTACAACCCTATAGAACCCTTACAGCACCCTTGTAGACACCCTAAACCCTCATAGATCCCTTTTAGGGAACCCTTAAACCCAGACCCCCAAAAAGA